GATGTATTTTCATATAAATTACTTATACTTATGTTTCAAAATGTACTAATTATTTTTATATTTTATGAATATTAAAATAAAAAATACTCGAATCAAACCTTTATATTAAATATGTTCATGGTATAAATTATTATTATATATGTAATTTATTCAACAATTTTAGTAAATCACTGTCCTTTCAAAACGTCGCTTCGGTAAAATACGTCGGACAACATTAAGATATGTCAGTCATTTTTCTAAACTATTTATTTCGAAAGTGGCTTAAGTCACTTTACCGTAATGAAAAGTGGTGAATTTTTAATGTTTATACGAAATTATTTATACTGAGGAAAATATCGGTATCCCGAGATAACAAATACAAGTAAATCTTCTCGAAAGTTAACATCCATATTTTTAAACGTGTTAAAACGCAAACCCTTAAATATCTCGACTTAAAAACAAAGTGACTTATGCCACTTTCAAAATAAACGGCTCGTATGCAATATGGGGAAACATACATTGTGACATTAGCTCGGCAGAGGAGCTAAAAAAGACTTATCTCTTGCCTGTCCCGACCGGAGTCGTTGTTACAACGGACATAACTTCGCGATGATTCGAGAATGTTGATTAGAGTGTTCGCGCGTCGACGTTGTCTCTCCCTCTCGCGTTGTTTATTTCATAATTTGTTGCACACTGCGTTTCGATCGGTCATGGGCGTGGTTATGGTTGCGTACCCTATTCCTATGTATATGTATGCATGCATTCGATCCTTTCACCTGCTGTTTAGATTTCTATCGTTTGCCAAGGTGAAACCGTGGACATATACGGAACAACAAATTTTACACCTGTTGCCGCGTTTTTTTCTTTTCGCGTAACATTTTCGTCGATTTCACATTCGATCGACAATCGAACATATCGTTGCGAGTTTCCGAACTTGTGTTGACGCGTCGTCTCGTTTTATATGCACTTATTGCATGCACTCGTTCCTTGAGTCATTTTCTTCTTCTCAACAGCGCAATAGAAACTTTGATGTACGTGAGCGAATTTTTTTCAAGATTTTCCTGCACATCTATAATTCATCGGTTCGCTCGACGGCGGCGAATCATGCTCTGTTTCGCGATTACTACGTGCAGCAATATTTATTCAATTACGGAAGAGCGCGTGCCGAACAAATGAAATGTCATCTTGTTCGAAAAGGACGAAATTACGCGTGAAACCGCATACAGGGAATATCGTAAATATCCTGCCTGTAACGGGATCAAATCAGTTTACATTAAATCCGTTAATTAACGCGCAATAACGTTGATCAAGGATCAAAGGTGACTTGTAATCGAACAAAACGAATATTCCTGGACCGGTCTGGAGCGTATTAAATTATACATTTCCAGGCAATTTAACCGGTTAACCGAAGGAGACGAGTTAACTCGTCGTTTGCATTGAATTGTATTATTTATCATAGTTTCAATTTTTACCAGCCTCGAAATTGGAAATTGCGTTCTATCGACGTTTCAAATGATTTCTGTACCAGCTACATCTTTTCTATCGAAAATAAAATCTATGGTGCCACATTGTTACCCACTTATTTTAAATGTATTTAAATGTTTGTAAAAAGTTCCTAAGGTTAAAAATTCAACGTCTTGTTTCTTAAATCGAATTTCTCAAATTCTAAGGACAACGCACGATAGTCCAGATAGCTTGTTGTGTTTTTTTAACAGGAATATGTACAGTTTATTTATAGGCACATTTACAGACGTCTTGAACTTTATGAGGAATATAATTTTCCTATATTTCAATACCTATACATATATATTTAGGAAAATTATAAAGGAAAATTATATTATTATATTATATTATATTATTAATTATTAAAATTATATTATATTATTATTATATTATATTATTATATTATATTATTATATTATATTATTATATTATATAAATCAATTTCTACATTATCTAGGTTTTGAAATATAGGAAAATTATATTCCTCATAATGTTCAAGAGGTCTGTAAATGTGTCTATAAATAAAATCGACATATTCCT